GGCCCTTAACCAGTGGGCCATCTCTCCAACTTTATGATTGGGGAAACAGAAGCAGAGACATTAACTTCTAGGATGGCCCTGGTCTGGGATTTGGATAAATGAGCATTGATGTAGAAGAGTTGGCCAGGTGGGGGCTGGGGTGGGGTAGGGGGTGGTATCCTGAAATCCCAGCAAGCTGCAATGATAGTGGCTGCCTGGGCTCTCTTTGGGGAGGGGGAGTACCTGCTAAGGGCTTATGAACAGTGGTGACAACAGCTGTCACCAGCAGATCCAAAGGAAGAGAGGTCATTAGATGAGGATGCTTCAGCTGACCTTCTCATGCTGGTTTTCTCCCCCAGCGGTGGAGACACAGAGCACTAGCTCAGAGGAAATGGTGCCCAGCTCTCCATCACCCCCACCGCCTCCTCGAGTCTATAAGCCATGCTTTGTATGCAATGACAAGTCCTCCGGCTACCATTATGGGGTCAGCTCATGTGAAGGCTGCAAGGTGTGTATTTGGTGGGGAAGATGGGTTGGGGACTCAATGGGGACACAAGGTGGGGATTGTAGCCCGGTAGGCAGAATGCTTGCTTTGCACACGTGAAACCTCAGCAACACATAAAAGAGACCCTCTTACCAAAAACAATATCGTGGAGGGGGCACCCTTCCCTTTAGATGGGTTAGTAGGGAGAGGTGTTTGGTGCCAAGCCTGAGGCCCACATAGTAGAAGGAAAACAAGTAACTACTCTGAATTCTACTTGCACCCTGTGGTTACACATGCACCCTCTACCCCCAACACACACAAAATAAATAAGTATATTGAAGAGATAGTTTAAAGATGGGCGTCCCAGGTGCTGTGGTCACATGAGTTGCCTGTGTGGGATGAGGGACTGCTCTGTGCATGGATGATTGACAGATTGGGTGAGGTGCTGAGGATACAGCTCGGCGGTGGAATGCTTTTTTTTTTTTTTTGGTTTTTTTTTTTTTTTGTTTTTCGAATCAGGGTTTCTCTGTGGCTTTGGAGGCTGTCCTGGAACTAGCTCTTGTAGACCAGGCTGGCCTCGAACTCACAGAGATTCGCCTGCCTCTGCCTCCCAAGTGCTGGGATTAAAGGCGTGCGCCACCAACGCCTGGCTGGTGGAATGTTTTCTAGCATGCAGAAGGCCCTGGGTTCAGTCATTCTCCAGCACTCCTCCTGCCACAAACAAACAAACAAAACAGCACTCAGGAGGCAGAGGCAGGTGGATGGATCTCTGTGAGTTCGAGGCCATCCTGGTCTATAAAGCTACACAGAGAAACCCTGTCTCGAAAACTCAAAACAAAAAAACAGACTGGGTCAGGCTTAGGGCCACCTGTATTGTAAGAAATATTGGTTTTCCCAGCCCAGCATCCTGTTTCAGTGACACTCCTCCTGATCCCAAATTCAGGGCTTCTTCAGACGCAGCATCCAGAAAAACATGGTATATACATGTCACCGTGACAAAAACTGTATCATCAACAAGGTAACCAGGAATCGCTGCCAGTACTGCCGGCTGCAAAAGTGTTTTGAAGTGGGCATGTCCAAGGAAGGTAGGTTCTTTTCCATCCTGTCCTATCCAGTGGTCCTTCCCCATTGCCTTCCAGCTTCCCTGGCTCTCAGACCTAGCCTGTTTGTAGCTGCTCTCTTCCCCAAGACCAGTCCTATTAGATTGGCTCCCTGAAGGCCACAACCCTTTACCATTCTCCCCTTTCTTGACCATTCTTCTGAAACCTGGGCACTAGGCCTTTTCTTCCTTCTGTCTGGTGGGGCAGGAGGGTTGGTCTGGTCCCTCCCTTCTGTTCTTTCACAGGACAGATCGTGAGATGGCTCCAGGCTGGCCCCTCCTTTCCATCCCCCCCACCACCACCATTGTGCTGCCAAGGCTATAAGTGGATATCCTGCCTGCATATCCTGCCCCCCCTCAGCCCCCAGCTCCTGCAGGGCAACCGGAAGGGCAGGATGGAGCCGAATTGGCCTGGGGAGGGAGCATGGCTGCAGGCCCTGGGTGGGGCAGGGGCAAACCAGCCTGGAAATAGGAGCTTATGTAGGAGATAGGGAAATTAAGGCACTAATTAGGGTTCCAGGGAAGAAATGTACTTACTGAGAACTGAGCACATCAAACTAGGGTGAAAGAGGACATCTAAAAGGAGACCCTGAGCATCCTGACCCTTTCCTTTGCCTCCAACCCCAAGCTGTAAGGAATGACCGAAACAAGAAGAAAAAAGAGGTGAAGGAAGAGTGCTCGCCTGACAGCTATGAACTGAGTCCACAGTTAGAAGAACTCATCACCAAGGTCAGCAAAGCCCACCAGGAGACGTTCCCCTCACTCTGCCAGCTGGGCAAGTACACCACGGTGAGGAGAGGGCACAGGCTGGGTGCTGAGGAGAGGGCACAGGCTGGGTGCTGAGGAGAGGGCACAGGCTGGGTGCTGAGGAGAGGGCACAGGCTGGGTGAGGGCACTTTAGGAATGGGCAGGGCTGTGCTCATCTGTCGGTAGTGGGGAGAGCTCCCAAGGGGGCCTACACATTCAAACTCATCTTTACTCCCTGCAGAACTCCAGCGCAGATCACCGGGTACAGCTGGACCTGGGGCTGTGGGACAAGTTCAGTGAGTTGGCCACCAAATGCATCATCAAGATTGTGGAGTTTGCTAAGCGGTTGCCTGGTTTCACAGGACTCAGCATTGCTGACCAGATCACTCTGCTCAAAGCTGCCTGCCTGGACATCCTAGTGAGTTAGGCCTATGAGTTCTGGACCTTTGACCCTTTTCTGCTACCACGATGCTTCTCTACTGAAGTTCTTTTTGTCTTAGCCTTGACCTCCTCGTTTACCTAATCTCCCCTTTCCAATCTCAGAGTTCCACCCTTCTGCCTTACTCCTCAGGTTCAGGATTTACTTACTGGGAACCAAACTTACTTAGGAACTTTTCCTCAGGGGCAGCACTAATTGTTGTCCTTACCCCCAACTTCTAGATGCTGCGGATCTGTACAAGGTATACCCCAGAGCAAGACACCATGACATTCTCCGATGGGCTGACCCTGAACCGTACCCAGATGCACAATGCTGGCTTTGGGCCCCTTACAGACCTCGTCTTTGCCTTTGCTGGGCAGCTCCTGCCCCTGGAGATGGATGACACGGAGACAGGGCTGCTCAGTGCCATCTGCCTCATCTGTGGAGGTGCGGGGGCGCCCCCTGGTGTCTGCATGGGCTCCCTTTTCCACCACACGCCACCCACACTGGTTCTCTGCAGGTGGGAAAGCATGAGGGTCTCTTCCCTTGGGATTGTCAACATTGATCCCATCCCACAGACTTCTCAGATCATGTATAGCCTTGCTGGCTAACCAAGCTAAGGACAGAAGAAGGAGGCAGAGTTCAGGGAACTCAGAAACCCTGGCCGCAGTGCTGAGATGGGAATCCAGTAGGAGTGTTAGGCCAGAGCAAGGTCCTTGCTGAGTGGTTATAGGTAAGGGCAGGCCTCACATCAAGGGAGAAAACCTGGAGGGCTCAGGGACAACAGTGAAGGGGCTGATGAGACCGTCTGACTCTGAGGCCCTCAGAAGAGAGTCAGTTGGGGGTCAGCCACCTGTCACCGTGTCCTTCCTCATCTCACCCCACTGTGCTTGTGTAGACCGCATGGACCTGGAGGAGCCTGAGAAAGTGGATAAGCTGCAGGAGCCCTTGCTGGAAGCCCTGAGGCTTTACGCCCGGCGACGGAGACCCAGCCAACCCTACATGTTTCCAAGGATGCTTATGAAAATCACCGACCTCCGGGGCATCAGCACCAAGGGTTAGTTATGAGTCAGCCCCCTTGGAACCCACACCTCCAAGGAGTCCTAGCTTGATTGACTATATCCTCCTGGGGAGATTTTGGACAAATTCTTTTCTGGTTTTGATTTGGTTGGTTGCGTGTGTGTGTGTGTGTGTGTGTGTGTGTGTGTGTGTGTTTGTGTGTTTGTGTGTGTGTGTGTGTGTGTGTGTGTGTGTTGCTGGCGGTGGAACCCCAAACCCCAAGACCTGTATGTGCTAGGCAAATACTGTATGCATAGTGACACCTTAGCTCTCCATATTTTTCTGTTTGGAAACTGGTTGGGCTATAAACTTAATCCTACATCAAAATCTTATTGTAAGAACTACATGAACTCACTACATAGTATAGTTAGAGATGGAACTGAGAGCCTGGCATGGAGCCATGCATGATGGGTGGTGGTTCATGCCTACCATTTCAGCATTAGAGAGGCTGAGGCAGGAGGATTACTTTGAGCTCATGGATTCAGAGCTAACCTGGACATTTCCATCATTACAGAGAGTTCCCTTGGGCAGTGCTGGCTCTGAAGGGTGCCTGTAACACCTTGAGTATTTGAACATTATCTGTTATAAAAGCTCTGGACATTGGAGCCTGGCTGTTCCAATGGGGCTCAAAGTTGCATGCAGTGTGGACTTCAAAGAATTTTTTTTACATTTGTTCATTTATTGATTGTATGTGGTGGGGCGTTCTTGTCATTGTGTGATGTAGAGGTCAGAAGGTAACTCACAAGAGTCAATTCTCCTTCCACACTATAGGTTCTTGGATTGCCAGACTTGGTGACAAACAGTCAATGAGCTGTCTTACTGGCCTTAAAAACATTTTCCTTATTTATTATTCTGTGTGTGATGTGTGTGTGGAGGCCAGAAGACACCTGTAGAGTTGGTTCTCCTCACTTTTATGTAGGTTCTTGGACCAAACTCAGGTTATCGGTGTGTGCTTGTGTAAGCATGCTATCCACTGAGCCATCTGCCATCTCAAAACCCACAGTGCAGTTTTGAAAAGATACTGGGCATTCATTGGTGGCGCACGCCTTTAATCCCAGCACTCCAAAGGCAGAGGCAGGTGGATCTCTGTGAGTTTGAGGTCAGCCTGGTCTACAGAGCGAGTTCTAGGACAGCCAGGGCTACACAGAAAAATCCTGTCTCAGAAAACCAAAAAGAAAAAGGAAAAAGAAAAAAAGAAGAGACATCTGAAAACGTGTGGTACATGCCTGTAATTCCAGCACACAGGAGGCAGGGGCAAGAGGATTGCTTCAAGTTCAAGGCCAGCCAGAGCAAAATAGCCAAGACTGACAAGGATTTCCAAGATAGCTAGAACTACATATAAGATCCTGTCTCTAAAAAAGGAGCAAAGAAAGAGAAAGCCTGGAATAATGAGACACATAGTCATCAGGCTGGGCAATGTTCAGTTAGGGTGAGGACACCTAGGAACCACCAGAAAGGAGAAGGTAAACTAGGTACTGAGAATGTGGCATCTGGCCCAGGAGCGCTTGGGAGTCACAGGGAAGTCCAATCAGGGAAGTTTGGGGCAGGGTTTCTACCCATGTGCTTCTGCTCTTCCAAGCTTCTTTGTCTCTCTTCATAGGAGCAGAAAGGGCCATTACCCTGAAGATGGAGATTCCAGGCCCGATGCCCCCCCTGATCCGAGAGATGCTGGAGAACCCTGAAATGTTTGAGGACGACTCCTCGAAGTCTGGCCCCCACCCCAAGGCTTCCAGTGAGGATGAAACTCCTGGGGGCCAGGGCAAAGTGGGCCTAAGTCCCCAACCTGACCAGGGCCCCTGACCTACCCCACTGTGGGGCTGGGCTCCAGGCAGCAGACTGACCATTCCCCAGACACCAGCAGTGACTGGGGGAGGACCTGCCCTGCCCATTCCCCACTTTTCCCATGAGCTCATTGTTTTGCCAAAGTTTCTGGGGGTGCCTGTGTCCATCCCTATCCTGTTCTAACTGGCTCCCTCTACAGTCCTGGAGGACTGCTCTGCACCTACCAGAAGAACCGGAGGAGGGGTGAACCTGGGTCTGGACTCTAAAATCTCAGCACTGCCTGTCCGATTCAGGCCACAGGCTCCCCGGGCAGGAGGAAACCCTGCCTTCCTACAGCCCCATCCTCTGCCAGGTGCTTGGGCTTCTGAGAGCAAACAGGAACACTAGAGACCAAAAGGGGGGCCCTCAAGGAGGGCTGAGCCCACCCTTGTGCCCTACCCTGGGTGCCTAATGCTGTGTGATGAACCTGCCATGCACACTGCCCCTGTGCCCCGTCTTCCTGCCAGGTATAGAGGCAGGCTGGACCCTGCATTTCTGGGGTGGGGACTGAGGGTGAAGGGAGACGTGTAAACCCTTCCTGTGCCTCTCTGCTGAGGTGCAGCACTCATCCTGGACCCTCCACTTTACAAGCCCCTCCCTTGGCCCTGTCTCGTGCCTTGGCCTCCTGCCCCCATCTCAGCCACGAGGCAGGGACCCTCCCACACTACAGAGGGGCCGGGGATCCCTCTCCTAGTGCCTTCTACCCTTGACCCCCCAGAGCAGCTTGGCCCAGGGAGGGGAGATGCTGCTTAGCTGATCCACCGTGACCCAGAGGAAGCCTCTATTTATTTATTAGCTTTTGTTTACGCCCTGGAATGACCCCTTCCTCCAGGGGTCTTGGGAGGGGGAGCCCAGGGCCTCTGTGACCCCTCCCTTCTTCCCCCAAGTGCCCCCTGTTTGTATTTAGCTGCCAAATAAGATTCCTGCAGGCTCCCCCTTTTCTCTGGGGGGTCAGGGTGCTGTCCCCTCCCCTCTGTTTACATCTCCCCTCCTACTCCTCGCTGTATCGCATATTGCTGAGTTTTCTATTTTTGCAAAATAAAGTGATGGAAACTCACAGGCACGGGATGTGGCTCCCTCTAGACCAAGTCACCAAGTCAGGGAAGTGACCTGCTGACCCGGAGAAGGAGCTGGGTGGGGCAGTGAGCTGCTAATGGACTTCACAGTTTTCTTCGGGGGGTAAAGAAAACGAAATATGTCTAATGACAGTAGCAGGGAGGGTTGGGAGCTGCAGGAACCTCCCCCAGCCAGCAGTGACTTCTTACCTTCAGTGGAATCCTAATGGGCTCATGATGCCTAAGTGTGCATTTGCTCTGCTCCGGGCAGGGATCTCCTGAAATTTCATATTTTGCACATTGTCCCTAGGCCTGGAAGAGAACTGCAGTCCCACATCTAAACTATAGTGTTTGTAGGATTTGTTTATTTGAGGCAGGGTCTCACTGTATATCAAACTGTCCTCCAACTAATAATCCTCCCACCTCAGCCCTGAATGCTGGGGTTACAGGTCTGTGCCAGCACTCCTAGCTCAGTGGTTATTGAACCAGGGGACTCTTGCGTCCTCTGGGCCCTGCCCTCACTGTCACCCACTCATTCGAGGCATCTCTTCACCCTGTGATCCCCGGCTCCTTCCACAACCTTCCAGTCACTTTGTCACCTGATGCTCTCTACCTCCTGCCTCGACTCAGTCCGACGCGCTCTCTACCTCGATGTCCTTGCACCCTGTGACTCCCCCCCAGCCCCCAGCTCTGCCTTGGGACACGGCTTTGCTTACCTTGTTCTTGGGTCTCTTCATCCGTGACCTGAGCATTTGGGAAGGAGGTGGGTGTGGGACAGGGGAGGCCAGAGAGGAGGGGGAAAAGCAGAAGAAGAAAGTGAAAGAAGATTCAGAGGAAACCACAGGGCCAGAGGAAAAGAGGGCATTGTCATGGTAACCCCTGGTTGAGGGGGAAGGGCAGAAGGTCTGACTGTCCCATAGCCTGCAGCCCGCTAAGGCCCACCCAGGAGCCCCTCCAGTCCAGCTGTCTCTTCCAGAGGCTTCACCTTCAGGAGCATCTGTTGTGATAGGAGTACTTTTTGCTCTGTGACTGACCGGGAAGCTGACTGACAGGCACTAGTGCTTGTCCATCAGGAATGCTGTTTCCTGTCGGGAATCTCCACCAGGTTCCTTTCAGTACTCTCAGTGGTCAACTGTGGGCCAGGAAAAAAAATCTCATTTGTACTTATACAACCCATTCTCCCATTCTCCTGCCTCAGCCCTGGCTGCGACCCCTGCACTCTGCCTTCCCAGGCCCTACTATTGTCCTGGCTTCTGGATCCCCAGTCGCACATCCAAACCTCGCCCAGTGCCTCTCTCCGGCTTTCCAACTGTCTAGACGTTGTGTCTCATGAAGCCTCGACTTTTTAGTGGTGGTGTCTCTCCCTCCCTCTTTTCTCAGTGACGGGGGGACTGAACCTCAGACCTCTTGAAAGCTAGGCAAACATCTGAACCCTGAGCTGCATCCCCCCCCCCCCCGTTCTCTTACCATCTCATTCTTTTTTTTTTTTTCCAGTTTAAATTTAGATAAGAAACAAGGTTGCTTCACAAGTCAGTCCCAGGTCCCTCCCCTCCTCCTGTGCCCTCCCCCAACCCCCCCCGTTATCCCCTCATTCCCCCAGGGAGGGTGAGGCCCTCCATGGGGGTGTCCATAGTCTGTCATTTCATATAGGGCAGGGCCTAGACCCTTCCCCAAGAGTTCAGGGTGAGAGTGCACCTCACATTGTTCTATGGGAGTCCAAAGTCTGTGTGTATACTTGGGATGGGTACTGATCTGCTGCCCAAGGCTCAATAGATTACCTAGGCCTCTTCACTGACACCCAGATTCAGGGGGTCTTGATCAGTCCCATGCTGGATTCCCAGGCTGATGCCTGGGTTACCATCTCATTCTTACCACAGTCTGAGTACGGGTGAAAAGGCAGCCATAGGAAGGATTAAAGCAGCGGTTCTCAACCTTCCCAGTGCTGCCACCCTTTAATATAGTTCCTCATGTTGTGGTGACCCCCAACTATAAAGTTATTTTCATTGCTACTTCACAACTGTAATTTTGCTACTGTTATGAATCATCATGTAAATAACTGTGTGTTTTGATGGTCTTAGGCGACACCTGGGAAAGGACCCTTTCACCCCAACGGGGTCATGACCCACAGGTTGAGAACCACTGGGTTAGTGACTAAGGAGTTTTACTGTTTCCTGTTAAGGGAGAGAACGCCAGGATTTTAGCCCAGGCAGGTTGGCTCCAGAGTCCAAGTAGTTCAGCTGTGACATTGCTAGGAGTTTGAGATTCCTGGGTCAAGACCTCCAACACGATCCAGATTACAATTCACTAAATGTATGGATACTGCTATCAGGGCAGCAATCTCCGAGCCACATTAGTGACAGCCACTCACTCCAAGCGGGGTGAGGGATGATGGATTTGTTTGTTAGTTTTTCGAGATAGGGTTTCTCTGTATTGTTTTGGAGGCTGTCCTGGAACTCATTCTGTAGACCAGGCTGGCCTCTGCCTCCCGAGTGCTGGGATTAAAGGCATGTGCCACAAACGCCCGGCTGGGATGATGGATTTTTAAAGGTGAAAACCACAAGACCACAAGACCTTGAGTATCTGCACAAGCTGTTTTTCTCTGCCACGGTTAGGTGGTCAAGGGGACCTCGAAATAGTCCTTGAACATCCACATAAGCAGGTAACAGAAGCAAAAGGGCAGTTAGTCCTGTCATAACAACGTAGATGGTCATGGCTGCACATTCCTGGCTGGGCAGGGGGTCACTGAGTCAGGGCTGCTGTAAACTTATCTTCTAGGGACTGGAGTCAGAGACAGATGGCTAATGGGCCCCAAGGCGGAAGTTTGTTTCTTTAGCCATCACAACAACCCAGTGGTCCCTGGGTTTTCTAAAGGAACACATCTCAGTCCTCTCCTTTTCAGTACTGTCTGCTTTTATATCTCTTCCTGAGTGGCTCCTTCCTCTATGGGGACTGGAGAGATCATCAATTTTGGAGGGGTTTAAATTACAGCCCAGCTCGTTGCTACCTGTGTGACATTTTGCAAAGTTGGTCTCTCCTTGGTCTCCCAGCCTCAATCTCTGTGCCTGTGGGGTGGAGGGGAGCAGGGGTGTGGGCGCTGCCGCTATCTGATGTGGTTCTTGTGAGCCCGAGTGTAACTTGATAGTTCAGCACAGGAGGGATGCTCAGTAGATGGGGATCTTCTAGGGCTTCACTTTACCCAGCCCACTCCTATCTGCTCCACCCTCCCAGAGTCCCCCACCCCAGGGCGTGTCACTTCCTCCTCTGTAGCCTCTAGATTTGTACACAAAGGCTGCTGCTACTGTCACCACCGAGGAAGAGCTGCTCCGAAAGCACCTGTGAGTACCACCAGGGCACCAGCCCACCCGCCTCCTCTCCTCACCCAGGCAGGCCCTCTTGTTCCCTGCCTCTCGGGGAAAAGGCTGTGACCCGGACTCTCCAGTGCCCTGTCCAGTCTCGAGAAAGGCTCTGAGCCCCTTTCTGCATTCCTGTGGTCCCCATTATCTCCTTCTCTGGCATCACAGCCTCCTGCTGCTCATCCATTAGTTTCTAGTGGAGCCAGAGGTAGGGAAGGAGATGGACCGAGATGCTATCAGTGAGTGATTTCCTTGGGCCAAAGCTTGCACCAGCCTGATGTCCTGTCCCTGGCTGCTGTCCTTGCAGCTCCATGCTTTTTCCATAGCCCAGGATTCTTCCCACTTGGTACCTTGGCCATAGATAGACTCTACATTCTGGAGCTACTGAAACTTGTGTTCCCAATAGAGTTAGTACTGTCAAAGCACAGTCACAATCGTAACTTAATTATTGATGAGCTGGCGAAGCTTGAGTGAACTTGATCCCCCACAACCTAAAAACTTTTAATAAGGAATCATAACAGGCAAAACATACCAATGATTGAGAGTCATTATGGGGTATAGTGGTATGACAACTGAGTCCAGAATTATTTGGTTAGGGCTGAACATGGTGACTCACACCTTTAATCCCAACACTTGGGAAGCAGAGGCAGGCAGATCTCTGTGAATTCAAGGCCAGCCTGATCTACAGAGCGAGTTCCCCCAGCCAAATGTCTTGAGATGCCTTAATCCATGGATCTCCTCCTGCACCCTGGGGGCTCCTTGCTGGACGGCTTCAGTCTTTCTTCGCAAGGAGGGGCCTGAGGTGGAAAGTTCTTTTCATCTCTGAGAGAAAAAGAACTGTGAAGCAGAGAAAACAGCAGAGTGCTATGAAAATAATAATAATGATAGCAAGGAGAGAGACAAATGCAGGTGGCAAGATTGCCAAGGAAGCAAAGGGGACAGAACTGAGAAGGGGAGGGGAGGCCATGCATAAGTTCAGAACCCCTTTAGGAGAGATGAGTGGACTTGGGGTCTCTGTCTTGGGAACGGGGGTGGCAGCAGAACCCTATCTATGAAATGAGTCAAAGCTAAACTGGGTACTGCAGAGTCTCGAGCCTCTCTGACCACAGCACAATGAGCACGCAGGTCTGAGGTTTCGCTGAGGCTAAGTCTGGGGTCAGCCTCTCCCTGAGAGCAGAAGCTCTGTAACATACATACTACACCCACCTGAGGTCACATGGGGTTGTGAGCAGGATGGGGTGTTCAACGGCTCAGTACCCCACCCTTCCCCAGACCCCCTGTAGAACGTGAGTACCTGTGTTTGGACCCAGGCTACTTTCTGGCAGACTCTTGTATGATGATGCTGGTGACCATGGGAACACACTTCCTAGGGAGCTTGCATTATGAACCCTTACCAATGTTGCAAATAAATGATGGCTGCCTGCTGGTCCTACAAATCTTCCAGAGGGTTCCTAGAGAGTCATCTGCACACGTGTGATGTGATGAGAGCATGTGTTTTTTTCTGTGTCGTTATTTGTAATACTGACCAATTAGACGCTATTAAGTTTTTGAGGTTGGAAAGATGGCTCAGTGGTTAAGAGCACTTGTTGCTCTTTCAGAAGACCAAGGTTTGATTCCCCGCATCCACATATTGGTTAACAAGCATCCATAACTCTGGTTTCAAGAGAGCTGATGCCCTTTTGACCTCTGAGGGCATCAGCACACATGTAGTGCAAAGATATATACATGGAGGAGCATACTCACATATAAGATAAAAGAACAAATCCCCTAAAAAGAAGCTATTAAGTTTTTATGTGGAGTTGAGAATTGAAATGAGAGATTTTGAATATGTTAGGCAAGGCTGTACTATTGAACCACATTCATTAGACCCCAAATAATTGAATGCAATGCCCGTTATTACAGGACTGGTTAACTGCTACGTAGTTTACCCCCATACAATGGGAATTTATATGGAAATTCTTTTTTTTTTTTTGGTTTTTCGAGACAGGGTTTCTCTGTGGCTTTGGAGGCTGTCCTGGAACTCGCTTGGTAGTCCAGGCTGGTCTCGAACTCACAGCGATCCGCCTGCCTCTGCCTCCCGAGTACTGGGATTAAAGGCGTACGCCACCAACGCCCGGCTTGGAAATTCTTTATTCTCAATTAAATTAAGAATTTTAAGACAGGTGAGGTGGTGGTGGCACATGTCTTTTTTTTTTTTTTTTTTTTTGGTTTTTCAAGACGGGGTTTCTCTGTATTATTTTGGAGGCTGTCCTGGAACTTGCTCTGTAGACCAGATTAGTCTTGAGCTCACAGAGATCCACCTGCCTCTGCCTCCCAAGTGCTGAAATTAAAGGTGTGCGTCACCAACACCCGACTTTTAATTTAATTTCTTAAAGACAGGATTTCTCTATGAAGCCCCACTGGCCTGGAAGTCCTTATGTAGACAAGGATGACCTTGAATTTGTGGAGATTCCCTCTGCCTCTTGCCTCCTGAATGCCATCACAACTGGCCTGTAGTCTCAACTCTAGTCCATTAATTCATACACCTAGTTTGTTTTGGGGGGGTTTGTTTGTTTGTTTGGTTTTTGTTTTTTGAGACAAGATTTTCCTGTGTAGCCCTGGCTGTCCTGGAACTCACTTTGTAAATAGACCAGCTGGCCTCGAACTCACTGAGATCTGTCTGCTTCTGCCTCCCGAGTGCCAGTTCTAATGGTGTGTACCACCACCGCCCAGTTTATACACCTAGTTCTATGTTGGTACCACATTATTTTGATTGATGTGGCTTTATTTATTTATTTAGTTAGTTAGTTAGTTATTTTGCAAGACAGTGTTTCTATATGTAGCCCTTCCTGTCCTAGAGCTTGCTGTATAGACCAGACTGGCCTTGAAGGCTTTATTTATTTTTGGTTAATTAATCAATTAAAACTTTTTTTGAGATAGCGTGTCATGTAGTCTAGGCTGGCCTCAGACCCCTGTTCTCTTGCCTCAACCTCCTAATGCTGGGATGGCAGGTACACACTGCCACATCCAACATTTATATTTTTGAATCACAGTAAAAGCTTGCCCGTTCAATTTTTGTTTTTTATTTTGAGACAGGGTTTCTCTGTGTGGCCTTGGCTGTCCTGGAACTCACTGTGTAGACCAGGCTTGCTTCAAACTCACAGAGATCCCCCTGCCTCTGCCTCCCAGTACTGGGATTGCCGCCACCACCCAGCAGGCTTATTCAATTTTTAAAATTAACTAATTAATTAATTTTTGCAGTGTAATCTAGTACCTCACAAAGAGTTGCACTTTCTCCTACTGAGCTACACCCCCAGCCACAGAAAATTTGACTTGGGTGTGGCAATTCACACCTGTACTCCTAACACCTGAAAGGGAAAAGCAGCAGGATTGCCTTGAGTTCAAGCCCAGCCTGGGCTAAACTGTGAGGGTCAGGTCAGTCAGGTCCCTGTCTCAAAACAAAGCAATACTAGAAAAGCAACTGGAGCTCTAGCTTAGTAAGTAAAGAGGATGTGTAGCTGAGCTTGGTGACCTGTCCCACAAGTTGCCATCTGGCCTTCACCCACATGCTTTGACATGCGCCTGCTCCCCGCTACCATTTAAACAAATAAGTATAAAACACAAAACTAAACTAACCTGGAAATATCAGGCTGGAGACACAGCTCATGGTTAAAAGCACTTGCTCTTCTCAAGGACTTTGGTTCCCATGGCAGCTCATCTACAACTTCAGTTCAAAGGGATCTGCACTCTCTTCTGCCCTCCAAGGGCACAAGGGCATGGTGCATAGACATGATAATAAAATGAAATACAAATTCCAACATCAACAAGAGTTTCTTCTTAGTAACAGCTCTTCCTCTGACTGCTGTGTCTACTGTGTGGGACCACCTTCCCCGACCGACCACACTCCCTCATCTGCCCCCAACCCATCCCTCTTACTTCCATTCTCTGTGTTTGTATTCAGACTTCAAAGCTATCAGATTATTCCTCCAGTTTACAGATGTGTAGACTGAGGTGGAGTGGGGTGGGAGGGGAGTGAGTGACATGCTGTGGAGCCAGTGAAGGATCTGGATGGGACAGAGTCTGGTAATCCCCATCTGATTCTACCTTTACTTCCGCTTGGTGTGTTGGTGTGACAAGATTTGTGACTTTACTGCTCCAGACCCTCCCTCCCTCCCTCCCTCCCTCCCTCCCTCCCTCCCTCCCTCCCTCCCTCCCTCCCTCCCTTTTTATTTGTTTTTGAGAGAGCTCTCCCAGGTAGTCCTGCCTCTCCTAGAACTTGCTTTGTAGACCAAGCTGGCTGCAAACTCACAGAGATTCCCCCTGCCACTGCCTCCTCCCGAGTGCTACTGCTTCTGGCTTTTTGAAGAAAATGTGTGTGTGTGTACTTACACATGAGTGTAAGTGCCCACAGAGCCAAGAGGGGTCAGATGCTCTGGAGACAGAGTCACAGGTTGTTGAAGTTTGCCTGAAGTTGGCTAGAAGCAGGACGAGGGTTCTCTAGAAAAACAGTGCACATCCCCTACCCCCATTAAAAAAAAGATTTTATTTTCATTTAATGACTTTGTTTTTTTTTTAATGGCATTCTCTGAGGAACTTTCTTTTTTAAATTTACTTAACTTTTATTTCAATGTGCATTAGTATCAGATGCCCTGGAACTGGAGTTACAGACAGTTGTGAGCTTGCATGCCAGGTGGGTGCTGTGAATGGAGCACAGGATGGGAGGGCGGCCTCGGGATGAGCGGCCAGTGCCCTCAACCACTGAGTTGTCTCTGCCGTCCTGCCCATCCTGGGCACCCGAAGTCTATACAGAGGAACACAGGCCTCTGAGCCCCCTCCCTGCCTGGTACCTGTCACTTCCCACCATTTTGAAAAAGCTGCTGAGTCCATAGGGGGATGTGAAACCCTGGGGACAGACATGGAGTTGGCGTAGTTCAGCACGGCAACCACAAGCTAAGTTTAGAGGACTCGAGCTCCGGCCCTCCCTGAGGGCTCACGCACGTGTCTGTCTTTATATCCTACTGCAGACCATGGTGGATTCATCAGCCGTTCTTGTTTTCCTGCTACTTCTGTGGGGAGGTGAGAGTGAGTCAGACCCCAGGGTCACATCTTCAGAGGAGGCCACGGAATGGGGACACAGCGACTTGTCTCAGCCTGGGTCCTGCCAGCCAGCTGCTTCCTGCCACAAGTGCATCCTCTCACATCCCAGTTGTGCGTGGTGCAAGCAACTGGTAAAGATGTGTCTGTGGCCCTGGAGCCGTGTGTGTGTGTGTGTGTGTGTGTGTGTGTGTGTGTGTGTGTGTGTGTGTGTGTACAGCCTGCACATACATGTGTGTTGTGTGGGCATATTTGCGATCTTTCTGGGTATACTCTTCTGTCTCAGGGTGACTGAATTTGGGCACACTGTGTGTGTAAGTTTCTGTGAATATATGAAAGAACCTGTGACCCATGAGCTCAGAGGAGAATGTCCCTTATGTATATATGTATTGACCAGTTAAGTGTTCTGTGACAAAATGTCATTGAATGTCTTAAATAACAGAAACATATTTCTTGTGATTTAAGAGACTGGGAAATTCAAGAGCAAAATGCTGACTCATTTGGTTCTCTCTGGAGGGATTTTTCCTGGCTAAGAGATGGGCTACCTTCTTGCTATGCTATTGCATGGGAGTTGGGGTTTGGGGAGGGGGGGCCCTCTGCTGTCAGTTAATTTTTTGTTTGTTTGTTTTGGTTTGGTTTTTCTTTTTTTCTTTTTTTCTTTTCTTTTTCGAGACAGGGTTTCTCTGTGGCTTTTGGAGGCTGTCCTGGAACTAGCTCTTGTAGACCAGGCTGGCCTCGAACTCACAGAGATCCGCCGCCTCTGCCTCCCGAGTGCTGGGATTAAAGGCGTGCGCCACCAACGCCCGGCTTTGGTTTGGTTTTTCAAGACAGGGTTTCTCTGTATTGTTTTGGAGGCTATCGGTCCAGCCCGGCCTGGAACTGACAGAGATGCACCTGCCTCTGCCTCCCGAGAGCTGGGATTAAAGGCGTGCGCCACCACCGCCCGGCCTGCTGTCAGTTCTTTTAAAAGATATTCATTCATTTTATGTTTATGTGTGTGTGTGTGCACGAGTGTGTGAATGTGCACCATGTGTGTGCAGGCACCAGTGGATATTAGAAGAGAGTGTTGGACATCTTGGCATTAGAGTTACTAGTTGTGACCTACCGTGTGGGTGCTGGGAACTGAATCTGGGTTCTCTGAAAGAACAGTCAGTGTTCTCAAGCATGCAGCCACCTCTCCAGCACCAGCTGTCACATCCTAAAGGGCATAGCTCATCATGAGGGTCCCACACTCGTGACTAAACCCAAACACCTCCCAAAGGTCTCATCTCACACATTGAGAAATAAGAATTAAACACAGGCCAGGGATAGTGGTGCACGCCTTTAATCCCAGGACAGGCAGAAACAGAAGTAGGCGGCTCTCTGTGAGGAGCTTTAGAGGCTCAGGAGCAGCAGTGTCTCTCACAGGAAGATAGAGAGTTAGATCAGTTCAGGATTTGGTAAGAGATAGGGCACACTCATAGTTAGCCATATTTGCAGCTGTTGGGAGAGCCTAAGAAACTAGTGATAGTGAAACTGTAAGACATAGGCTCTGTGGGAGGCAGGGACGCAGGGGTCCTAGGCAGCAGCTAAAGAGGGTGGACAGCCGCTGGTCTGTGAATACCTCCTCCAATCCCTAGACGAGGGGCTGGCACCCATGCCCACTGAGAAGCCACCCTAACCATTTCCTTCCCCTGCGGCTTCCTAGTCAGTGCAGGGCACCAGACGTGTGTGTGTGTGTGTGTGCATGCGTGCACGCGTTTGCATGCATGCCTTTTTCTGTCTCTATCCTCTTCCTTCCCAGAAACTGGGTGTGACTGACCCCCCTTCCCATTTTGATCTGATCGTGCTGGGGAAGTTGGACTACCGACTTTTTCTGTAGCCTTGAGGTCTCTGAGATCTCAACAGGAAGTCTGTGGCTCTAAAATGAGAGGGGATATAGGCTGCAGGAAAGGGGAGTTGAGATCATGAGATGGGTGGGGGGATGGGGAGGTAGGGATGGGTGAGGGTGGGTGGGGGTGGATGATAGGGATAGGTGTGTGGGGGAGCTGCTACAGGAAGTGGGACTTGGTGAAGAAGAAGGGATCATCTATGCTCCACAGTAGCTGTGGAGGGAAGTGGACCGTAAGAATAAATCAGGGCTCAGGGAAGCTGGCTGAGCGGGTGGTCAGGTGTTTGCAAGTGGCAGTGTTTGCAGGGTGGTGTTTGTTGGCAGTCCGGCTGAAGGGCTGTGGGGGCTGGGGTTCCAATATACCTCCTCCTGGGGCACAGAACTTCACCGCCTCGGGGGAGGCTGAGGAAAGGCGCTGTGCGCGGCGAGAGGAGCTGCTGGCCCGCGGGTGCCCCGCGCAGGAACTGGAGGAGCCACGCGGCCACCAGGAGGTGCTGCAAGACAAGCCACTCAGCCAGGGAGACCGAGGCGAGGGGGCCACCCAGCTGGCCCCGCAACGTGTCCGGGTCACACTGCGACCAGGTCGGTCTCGGGAGGCGCGGAGTGGCAGTCTGGACTGGGAGAGTGGCAGTCTGGACTGGGCCTCGAATGCACTAGGCTGCTGAGCCGAGCCTCCCCTTTCTCCATTAGGGGAGCCACAGAAACTCCGGGTCCGCTTCCTTCGAGCGGCGGGATACCCGGTGGACCTGTACTACCTTATGGATCTGAGCTACTCAATGAAGGATGACTTGGAACGCGTGCGCCAGCTCGGGCACGCCTTACTGGTCCGGTTGCAAGAGGTCACCCATTCTGTGCGCATAGGTGAGTGAGCTTTCACTACTCAGACCCTACCAGCCCTGGTCGCTGCTTTTAGCTTCCACCATCGCCTTAAACTCTCCGAGTGTTTAAGACCCAATCAGGCCATTGGATCTTGACATCTCTTCCAAGAGACACTCTAGGTGTAAGCTCAAGGAATTTCGGGTTGACCATAGGAGGACTCCTGCTGTACAGAGGGCTAACTAGGGCTCAGAATCTAAGAGACGATTCAGACAGACAGCTGCCCACCTGGCTTTGGAACAACATAGATAAAATGTTTCTGTTCCACATTCTGTAATGATTTTTCCCCCTTTGCTCAAAAGCTCCCCTTCTGTTGTCTCCTGCTGCTCCTACACCCTTGACCCTGGCTCCTTCACCTCCAGGAAGCCTGGCTTGCCCCCGTTGGGTCCTCCTCTTCATCTCCTCCATGTGCACCTTCTTAAGTTGGTGGTGCCAGTTTGTCCTTGCCAGGCTCGGGTCCCTGCCTTCTAGGTGCGCTCTCCTGAGGATTTAGCAGTGACTATTACATCCTGCTGGTGCCTTGTGACCTTTGAAATAGCCTCATTGCTCCCTGCTCTCAGGTTTCGGCTCCTTCGTGGACAAAACAGTGCTGCCGTTTGTAAGCACAGTGCCCTCCAAGCTTCAGCACCCGTGTCCCAGCCGGCTGGAGCGGTGTCAGCCGCCCTTCAGCTTTCGCCATGTGCTGTCCCTCACTGGGGATGCTCAAGCCTTTGAGAGAGAGGTGGGACGCCAGAATGTCTCTGGCAACCTGGACTCACCTGAAGGCGGCTTTGACGCCATTTTGCAGGCTGCCCTCTGCCAGGTGAGGAAATGGGGTGAGGGTCTGAGTGGCAAGAGCTGTCTGGGGCAGGTTCTGCCCGTGATGGATGTGTGCTGCATAATCAGAGGGTACATTCTTATCATCTCACTGGTCTGCACGTTTATCTCGACAGTTATCTGGTAGCCTGGCTAGTTTACTTATCTTTTTTTTTTTTTTCGTTTTTCGGTACAGAGTTTCTCTGTGGCTTTGGAGACTGTCCTGAACTAGCTCTTGTAGACCAGGCTGGCCTCGAACTCACAGAGATCCGCCTGCCTCTGCCTCCCCAGTGCTGGGATTAAATAGTTTACTTATCTTGAGAAAGGCACTTTCCCCAAATCACAAGAGAGCCCCCACTAACAGCCAACTTGTATGGGGAAGGGGTCCAGAGAGCTTGGAGCAGGGAATTAGAGACAGGGGGGCAGACAAACTGATGTAGAATGATCCCGACAATTTCTTTTACTGGGATGGTTCAAGTGCCATACCCAGGTATATAGGCTGCCTCCTTTCCCCTCAGGAGCAGATTGGCTGGAGAAATGTGTCCCGACTTCTGGTGTTCACTTCAGATGACACATTCCACACAGCTGGGGATGGGAAACTGGGTGGCATTTTCATGCCCAGTGATGGGCGCTGCCACTTGGACAGCAATGGCTTCTACATCCACAGTGCAGAGTTTGTGAGTCCTCTCTTGCCCCAATCCTCCTCCCCATCTGAGCAGCATCGCTTCTTCCAAGACTCTTATACTCCTCACTGGAAACCACCCTGTAATACTGTCATCTTCTCTGTGTCCCCAGATGCCCTGGCAAGAAACCTGCTCCATTCACTCTTACCTCCTTGGTCTGTCTATCTTTCAGGGCTCCTGCTACTTTTTCTTTTTTTTTGGGTCTGGTAGTTTGTGGCACACTAAAGGGAGACAAGCGACAGTCACCTGTTCCTTTCCCTACCTCAGGACTACCCTTCTGTGGGTCAAGTAGCCCAGGCTCTCACCGCAGCGAACATCCAGCCTATATTTGCTGTTACAGGCGCAACCCTGCCTGTCTATCAGGTGCGACCTTGTTCTTCCCATGAAACTCTTTCCAGACCCCCAGGAACCCATTCTCTTTATCCATATCTCCCTCCCCTCCTCACAATGCAGGAGCTGAGCCAGCTGATTCCCAAGTCGGCTGTTGGGGAGCTGAGCGAAGATTCCAGCAATGTGGTGCAGCTCATCATGGATGCTTACGATGTGAGGGGAGAGCTTCAAGGGGTGGGGGCAGGGGTCCTCAGGAGACAGGGCATAACTAAGAGGGCATGATCGCTTTGAGTTCTACCATTTCACAGCCCTCCTTAGTTTGCACATGGTCTAGCAGTTCATACACTCACATCGTAAATGTAAGTATTGGCCATATTGAGGATTGAGCCTCAGGCCTTGCTTGTGCTAGGCAACAACTCTGACACTGAGCTATATCCAATCCCCTACTGAGCCATAAGTCTATCTCTTTTAATAATTTAAAGAATATTTAAGGGGAACCGGAGCGATGGCTCAATTTTTAAGAGCAATGGCTACTCTTCCAGAGGACCTGGGTTTGGCTCCCAGCACCCACATGTTGGCTCACAACTGACCATCAATATGGTTTCAGAGCATCTGATGCCCTCTTCTGGCCTTTATGGGGACTGCATGCACAGTGCACAAATATACATGTGGGCCGGGCATTGGTGGTGCACGCCTTTAATCCCAGCACTAGGGAGGCAGAGGCAGGTGGATCTCTGTGAGTTCAAGACCAGCTTGGTCTACAGAGCGAGTTCTAGGACAGCCTCCAAAACAATACAGAGAAACCCTGTCTTGAAAAACCAAAACCAACCAACCAACCAACATACATGTGGGCAAAACACCCATACACATAAAAAATTAAAACATATTTAATATTTACACATATATAATGTGTTTGGATCAAGTCTACTGCCTCATTCTTGTCCCTCTAATTCTCTGTTACATCTCCACCACTTTTCCCTCTCAATTTCATGTCATTTTTTTCCCCAAGAGACAGGGTTTCTCTGTGGCTTTGGAGGCTGTCCTGGAACTCGCTCTGTAGACCAGGCTGGTCTCGAACTCACAGAGATCTGCCTGCCTCTGCCTCCCTAGTGCTGGGATTAAAGGCATCCACCAAAGCCCGGCTGATTTTTTTTTTTTTTGAGACAGGGTTTCTCTGTGTAACAGTCCTAGTTGGCCTGGAACTAGCTCTATAAACCAGGCTGGCCTTGAACTCACAGAGATCCGACTGCTCTGCCTCCCGAGTGTTGAGATGGTCCTTCTTTCAGAAATGACTTCTAGCTGGAAGGATGGGAGGAGCCCCAGGCTGCAAGAGAGCCAGATATAAGCAGAACTAGGAGCGGCTAAGAGGGTAGAAAGTGGGGTTCCTGGGAGGGGGACCTGCTGTCACATGGCTGCCTCCTCCTTCCCTTCCACAGAGCCTGTCGTCCACGGTGACCCTGGAACACTCCCCACTGCCTCCTGGAGTCAACATCTCTTTTGAATCTCACTGTACGGGTCCCGAGAAGAGGGAGGGTGAGGCTGGGGACCGGGGACAGTGCAGTAATGTACGCGTTAACCAGACGGTAAGAATCAGCCAGCAGGGATCGATACATAAAAATGGGAAACAGAAGCAGGGAAATATATGGGGGCAGTCATGGAGAGGAGGAGTGGGCTTCCACTCACTCTTAATTTACTGCATGGTCAGTGGGCTTAGGGGTGTGTGTGTGTGTGTGTGTGTGTGTGCGCGTGCGTGCGCGCGCACATGAGGGTGTGTATAGCTTAGGGTGTGTGTATATGCACACATGAGAGTGTGTATAGCTTTGTCTGGTCTTCCTATCTTCAGGTAGACTTCTGGGTTACTCTTCAAGTCACTCACTGCCTCCCAGAGCCCCATCTCCTACGGTTCTGGGCCCTTGGCTTCTCAGAGGAGTTAACTGTGGAGTTACACACACTGTGTGACTGTAACTGTAGTGACACCCAGCCCCACGCTCCCTACTGCAGCGATGGCCAGGGGGACCTTCGATGTGGGATCTGCAGGTGAGGGCTGGCCTTATGCATTCCTTTAGCTCCATGACCCTCTATTTTCCCCTCCTTTGCTTTCTGGCTCCTGGAGTGTCCTAGACATCTTACGACTCCATCCCCGAAAAAGCTTCCCATATACGCCAAGGCCTTCATCTTGACCAGAATCCCACCATCCTTTCCTCCCTCTACCCTTGGCACTCTAATATATCCTAGTATTATTCCAGCTATTGTTTCCAGCGCCCTTGAGAACATGGGCCTAGGACAGTGTTTCTCAACCTTCTTAATGCTATGACCCTCATATTTTGGTGACCCCCAACCATAAAATTATTTTTGTTACTATTTCACAGCTGTAATTTTGCTACTGTTATGAATGTAAATATCTGTGTTTTCCCATGGTCTAAAGCAACCCCTGTGAAAGGTTTGACCCTCAAAGGTCACGACTCACAGGTTGAGAATCACTGGCCTAGAGCCTGAGAGACAGGCCACATGGTCAAACTGACCCATCTCTCTCTGCTTCCCCTCCCAGCTGTGCCCCTGGCCGCCTTGGTCAGCTATGTGAGTGCTCTGAGGCCGAACTGTCCTCCCCAGATTTGGAATCTGGCTGCAGAGCCCCCAATGGGACAGGGCCCCTGTGCAGTGGGAAGGGACGATGCCAGTGTGGGCGTTGCAGCTGCAGCGGTCAGAGCTCTGGGCGTCTGTGCGAGTGTGACGATGCCAGCTGTGAACGGCATGAGGGCATCCTCTGTGGAGGTACCTAGAGTCTTTGGGAGAAAGTAGGGGCCTCCTAGGGCACTTAGATGCTGAGATGGCCTATAGTGGCATGCTGGTCCAACTGTGTGTGAGAATGGTGATCACACTGTGCATGGTTCTTCCTCAGGCTTTGGACACTGCCATTGTGGAGTATGTCACTGTCACGCCAACCGCACGGGCAGAGCATGCGAGTGCAGCGAGAATGTGGACAGCTGCGTCAGTCCCAAAGGAGGGCTCTGCAGCGGGCATGGACACTGCAAATGCAACCGTTGCCAGTGCCAGGATGGCTACTATGGGGTCCTGTGTGACCAGTGCCTCGGCTGCAAGTCACCATGTGAGCAATACAGGTGAGGCCTCTGGTCTTTCATCTTGGGAGCTGGGGCACAGTGAGCTTGCTAAGAGCTCCTGCCTGCCACCTTGAGGGTGTGTGTGGGAGGGCTAGCAGGTAACAGCTGCCCAGATGGGAACTCATTGACGCTCACTGGACAGGGATTGTGCAGAGTGTGGGGCCTTTGGCACTGGCCCCCTGGCAGCCAATTGCAGCATGGCCTGTGCCGATGTGAATGTGACCATGGCCTTGGTCCCTAATTTGGATGATGGCTGGTGCAAAGAGAGGACACTCGACAACCAGCTGTTCTTCTTCCTGGTGGAGAATGTGGCTGATGGAGTCATACTGAGAGTGAGACCCCAAGAGAGTAAGTGCGCAGAGCCTCAGAACTAGGGATGTGAATGAATGTAAGGGCAATGGGTTTGAAGCAGAGCTGCACACCTAGGGTAAAGGGAGAGGGGATGAGACTAAGGTCCCGGGAAGGAAGACAACCTTGGGCTCTGCTGGGTCCTGTTTTTAGTGACAGGGCTGGGGAGGCTGGACACCCTTTAGGTAACTGTGGATCAGCTCTTATACCTTGGCCCACCAGAGGGAGCAGGTCACACCCGTACCACCATACTGGCCTGCATAGGTGGCATTGTGGCAGTGGGACTTGGGTTAGTCCTGGCTTATCGGCTCTCTGTGGAAGTCTATGATCGCCGCGAGTACAGCCGCTTTGAGAAGGAGAGGCAGCAACTCAACTGGAAGCAGGTGAGACCAGCTACTCCTGCCATGGGCCGGGTTTTTCCTTACTTCCTTCCCTGTGGGTTCTCTTCCCTTTCTGCTTCCCTCACCCAAGTCCCTCCCTCAGCATAACCGGGCCTTCTAGGATCTGACTTAAGTTCTAAGTTGGCTTCACAGGACTAGGCAATGGGGAGAGTCTGCTACTTTCCTTACAGTTCACAATGTTTTCCCACAGGACAACAATCCTCTCTACCAAAGTGCCATCACAACCACTATCAACCCCCGCTTCCAAGGGACAAACGGTCCTGATCCCTCTCTCTGACCCAGGCAGCACTCACTTAGGATTCTTGTTTTTGAGGACAGTGGGGAACAACAGGGCAGGGCCTGTCAGAGGGCTGCTTCCCACGGTTGCAGCTATTCCTCACCTCATGAGGGGTTCTTCCACAATAAAGCCTTGCCTCAGACTACAGCCTTCATTTTGCTTCACCCCAAGCCAAAAAAAAAAAATTGCCTAATCCAGGTCTCAGGTCATAGGATGACAGGTATGTTTCTGTTGTGTGACCTGGGAACACCTGGGCCAATGGATATCAGGTGGTGCTGATGCTGGAGTTATCTACCACCTTCTCAGGTGGTGCTGATGCTGGAGAGTTACCTACCACCTTCTCAGGTGGTGCTGATGCTGGAGTTATCTACCACCTTCTCAGGTGGTGCTGATGCTGGAGTTATCTACCACCTTCTCAGGTGGTGCTGATGCTGGAGTTATCTACCACCTTCTCAGGTGGTGCTGATGCTGGAGTTATCTACCACCTTCTCAGGTGGTGCTGATGCTGGAGTTATCTACCACCTTCTCAGGTGGTGCTGATGCTGGAGTTATCTACCACCTTCTCAGGTGGTGCTGATGCTGGAGAGTTATCTACCACCTTCTCAGGTGGTGCTGATGCTGGAGAGTTATCTACCACCTTCTCAGGTGGTGCTGATGCTGGAGAGTTATCTACCACCTTCTCAGGTGGTGCTGATGCTGGAGAGTTATCTACCACCTTCTCAGGTGGTGCTGATGCTAGAGAGTTACCTACCATCTTCTCAGGGACCTTACCTAGACAGGAGTCAGACCCCCTCTTCTTAGGTGGTGCTGATGCTGGAGTTATCTACCACCTTCTCAGGGACCTTACCTAGACAGGAGTCAGACCCCCTCTTCTCAGGCTGCTGAGAGCCCTTTTCTCAGCAAAAATGATTACTTTTTTTTCTACTTGTTGTGTCTCTATGGAGAGATGTTTTAACAGGGTAGCTTGCTCTGTTACAAGTTGTAGTGTGGTTACATAGAAACGGAGCCTATTAAAACCACTCTGGCCTTTGGTGATAAAGTGTCCCCAACAAATCAAGTCTTCTCAAAGAGGAGATGGAATGTAGAAAAGCGCCATTCATTTTATTTAAATATCCTAAATATATCACGAAGGAACATACACTGCACTTTAATGGTAAAAAGATACAAGTTTATAACATCTTATAAAAACTACCATTTAAAAGTGATCTTGTTCATTTGATAGTCCCCTCCCCCATAGCAAAATAAGTATATTTAAAAAAAAAAAGTGGAGCATGGTAGGAGGGAATTGAAGATAAAAGCCCAGGGCCACAGCAGAGGCAGAAGGAACTGGGAGAGGGACACTGTGGCGGAACTCCACTCATCTAAGCCTCCGTGTCAAGCCATGGAGCACAATCAGTAGCTAAGTGGTGACAGGAGGCTGGTGGGGATGGATGGAAGGACAGGCGCCCACCCAGGGACTGCAATGACTCTCCCCATCCAAACCCACATTCACATTTTGATCTGAGCATCTGCCCCCTCTTCGTTTCCCCTTTCTACACACACCTGAGACATCTGTCCAGTGCTAACATGCCACCTCAGAAGAGGAGCAGCGTCAGGCCCAGGAGCCTTTGTAGCTGTCTCTGGTTTCCCTGGGGTAGAGATGTGGTTCCTAGGCCCTTGGGTGTCCTATTACTCTTCACCCCAGAGCCTGTCTGTTCTCAACCACACTGCCAGTCTGAGATTCTCACACCCAGGCCTTGGCAGTGTGGTTCTGGTTGAATCATCTGTACATACATTCCCAAGTTCTCTTCCTCCCAGCTTCCACTCAGGAGGAAGCCAAGGTCTGCAGGGCCACCTGACCCAGTACATACATTCATACATGTAGAAACATGGGTCACTGTTCTACCTCTCCCCACAAACAGGTCATCTTCAAGCAGCAGGGAGGGTTCCCACTCCCAAAAGCATTTCAGGGAGGGTATCTTTCTCAATGTATCCTTTTCCAGAGTTGAATGACAGAAAAATCCCAGCCCAGCAGAACCCTCTAACTGGAAAGGATCTGCTTTGTATGCACGAAAATGAGCAGGGCCACATGGTGGATAAGCACTGAGGTGCAGGTTCTAGAGCGTGTCAAACAGTAGGACAGCATGGAGCTAGAACACACGGCAGTGAGCAGTCCCTAGACACTTCACCCAAGGCTCTCAGGTGTTGTGAGAGTCACACTGAAGGTTGCAACATCTTCCCTTCTTTTTCCCTGAAGTACTTCAACCCGAGAGGTATGAGGTACCGTCCCTCAACACACTGGAAGAGGCCACAGCCAATAGTATGTTGTTGCCCGGCCCTCTTTGCTAGGCAAGGACTTCTTGGAGGCTGCCATCTCTGATTCCTACTCACAGCTACGGAGCTGTGTATGTGCTCAAGTCAGTCTCAATGATTACACCTGAAGTAGGTCCCCTGGGGTGGGGTAGTGCTCAATGGAATCTCAAAACCTCCCTTGAGGATCCTTTCTTTATCGGGAAGGGAGTTATTTTACTTTACAACATACATGTCCATAAGCCTTGGCTTAGACACACTCTAAGCAGCACACTGTTCAATCCATCTACACAACAACAACAACAACAAAAACCCCAAAATCCTTCTGGAACAAAACCCCTCAGTTTTCTTGTTCTTAGCAACCTGTGGGAGGCAGGCACCCTTCCGGTCTGGGCAGAGAGGCTGCTCTATGCTTTCTGTCCTCTAAGTTGGTGGCCGAATAAATTTGGCTCAACAATTTTCATCCCTTCCAAGCAAACACACACAGCACTGACAAATCAGACAGAGACACACACCTCGTCACTTTTTCAGGGTAGACAAGATGGTGGTCTGGAACAGAGTAAGGTCAATAATAAAACAGACATCAGGTGTCCTTCCTCTGCTGCAGCCCTCCGCCTCCACCGTGTTGGTTAGGGATGCCTATCAAAGAGGAAGCCAAAATCATGTTCTTTGGGACTGAAGACCAGACTTCCACTCCAACTACTGGGATACAGTCACAGGACTTGGGCAGGGAGGGGCTCTATCACACAAGTCACATCAGGGCCACCAGCTTGCTCCTCTAACAGTTGTTGGCAAACTTTGCACTACTCTTGGTTGTTCTAAGATGGCACAAGTGGGGACAGCCCACTTTGACACCCACAACTCCCTGTTCAACTGCTGCCTGGTCTTAGGGTCAAGGACAGTGAGGTAGCCACAAACCATGACCAAGACCGACTGCCCAGAACAAAAGGCTGCAGGGCTACCCCACCCAAGTTTCCTCCAAAAGGCACTTGAGCTGACCCCGCCAGGCATCGGTGGTGCACAAACCATGAGGACACCCATGGGCACAACACTGCTCTTCCTGAGGAGATAAAAAGGTATGCCCTCTTCTTGTCCAACCCCATCAGCCTCCCCCCTTTCTCCTTTTGTCCTCACAGTGTATAAGAAGTCCAAGTAAGCTTAGCTGCCAGCCCTGGTCCTATTTTCTTCCAAACAGGGCTGTGGAACACCAAAGGCCTACGGTAACAAAAAACGGCTGGACCAGCCACAGTCCTTGCTTTGCTTAAGGACTTTGCGTCTCCAGATTACCTGTGTCCCCTGTTTACCTGCTGTAATTGCTTTTGGACAAACAAAAACAAGAGCAGAGCAAACAAATGCCCTCCTCAGTCCTTTCATTTCAGCTGCCAGTTCCAGTCCAAGGTTGTGGGAACACTTCAGTCTTGGTCCTGTACCTTTGAGTCCCTACCTATGACCTCAGCTAAGGGTTCAGGGACCAGCTCTTCTGCCCAGGAACGCCGTAGGAACTTTCCCGAGATACGCATAGTCACAGACTATTTACAGAGCTGAGGCTCTGGAGCCGCTGTCCTCGGATGCTGTCTTCTGCTCACCTGGGGCCACTCCTCTGGGAAGGGGACAGGTTCAGAGGGAGCGGTGGTGGGACCATCAGAGTAGAGAGGGGTGTGCTCTTTGGTGGACTCCTCTCATCACTCCCACCACCTAGGGCTCCTGTGTCTATAGAGAAAATTGCCCATCAGATGTCTTGGACTGGCATCCTTGGCACATTCGTTTGTGTCTGAGTAGTCGGTCTGTCCGAGAAAAACACTGTGAAGAGAGGGGGGGGATTAAGCTTCAAGAGATATTTGTCATCTGTTAGTAGGTTCCTTCCTCGAAGAGAAGGCTATGCTATGTTCTTGTTCCCTCCGCATCTGCATAGTAGGCGCACTTAGTGGTGAGGAACACTCATGCTGCTGGGCATGGTGGTACACGCCCTTAATCTCAGAACTCAGGAGGCAGAGAAGCAGGTGGATCTCTGTGAGTTCAAGTCTAGCTTGGTCTACATAGTGAGTTATAGGACAGCCAGGGCTATGTAGACAGACCCTGTCTCAAACAAACCAGAAGAACCAATGCAGGTTCTAGGGGTCAGGGATGCAGCTCAGCTGGTAGAGTGCTTGCCTAGTGCACATGAAGCCCCAGATGTGATATTCAATACCCTATTAACTGAGCATGGTGGTGCATATCTTTGATTCCAGCACTTGGGAGCGGAAGGCTCATCCTTGGTTACACATAAAGTTGGAAGCCAGTGTGGACTACCTAAGACCCCATCTCAAAAAAGGGGAGTTGGAGAGGATGATATGGCTCAGCAGGTAAAGGCCCTTGTTGCCAAGCCTGATGACCTGAGTTTGACCTCTAGAACCAACATAATAGGAGTTTCTCTGACCTCCACACCTCTGCTGTATTATGTACACACAATAATACATGTTAACAACAACAAGCCAATGTTGGAGCAGAGGGCCTGGGCTTGGAATGCTAGTTCTATCATTTAGTCAGGTGACAATGGGCAGATTACCTAATAGCCCCAAACCTGTCTATCTCAAGGAACAGGTTAAAAGCATGCAACACAGTGTAGCTGTTTCACTCATCAAATATTAGTTTATTTTGCCAGAATGGAGATCAACCCCAAGGAGAGGGCATACTTGGCAAGACCCACCACTGAGAGGCTGTCCTGGAACTAGCTCTTGTAGACCAGGCTGGTTTCAAACTCACAGAGATCCACCTGCCTCTGCCTCCCAAGTGCTGGGATTAAAGGCGTGTACCACCACCATCGGACCACATATTTATCTTAAGATGTGTACACTTTTTGGGCCCAAGAACAGGGTGGAAAATCTTATGTTTCTTTGAGACAGGCTTTGCTGCTTAACTGAGGCTGTCCTAGAACTTGTCCTCTTGCTCTGCCTCTCCTGAGAGCTAGGATTACAATGTGTACTACCAAACTCAGCTCCCTCATGGTGTTGCATTCTAGTGTTTTGGCTTTGTGACAGGAGCTTACACTGTGGGCTGGTCTCAAAGTTTCTATGGCAGCAGAGGATGCCTCTTGGACAATGGGTTAGGGCCACATGCCATCACCATCAGCAGCAGCTCTCATCCTAGATTCTGAGACTCACTGAAACTGTGGACTTCAGTGTTGAGAGCAAGCGGAGCGTCCAGGAAATGTCAGGTGATATCACTTCCCATCTGCTGTTCTTGTCTCACTTGGTCTTCACACTTACACTCTCATCAGATCAGATACCGGACCCCCCCCCAGAGATGACATCACTTCCTCCACAGTGCAGGTGCTTTGAATTTGGACTAAACATCAGCTGTACTGTTACCTACTGTGTGCGGAAAGTTAACTTCCTGAACTTCAATTTCCCCATTATGTGAAATGAGGACAAAACAGATACCCTAAGGACATAATGAGGTCAAAACATGCCCAGAACGCAAATTCTATGCTGTTTGTTCTCACAAGTACCTGGCATAGAATAGGAACTCCTCTGTGAGTTTGAGGACAACCTGGTCTACACAGTGAGTTCTAGGACAGACAATCAGAGCTACACAGTGAGACCCTGTCTCAGGGAAAACAAAACAAAAAAGTTCAAAACAAAACAAAAAAGTTCAAATCAAAATAAATGGTAATATGACATTCTAACAAGCATTCCCCATGATTAGCCCCATAAGGCCAGAGATGAGCCTCTTTCTGAGATGCTAACCGTATTGTGGAGGCCCCTCTGTCAGCCAGGAAAAGACAGGATTTTTCTGTGTAGTTCTGTAGACCAGGCTGGCCTCAAACTTACAGAGATCCTCCTGCCTCTGCCTCCGGAATGCTGGGATTAAAGGCGTGCGCCACCACCCCTACTAGCTCCTGGCCCCACTTCTTGGAGAAGGAAAAATTTATGTGTGCTGCTGTTCCAGGGGGATGACAGGCAAACCTTACCTGATGACATCGTTCACACTGGTAAGGCTTTTCACCACTATGTACACGCTTGTGGCGTTCAAGATGGTACTTCTGGATGAAACGCATATCACATACATCACACTCAAATGGTTTCTCACCTGACCCAGAGGCAAAAAAGAGAAATTTATGGTAGGACTACACATTCCAGTTGTCTTCCAGACCCCTTAGTGATCATAAACATGTAAAATTGCTGGTTTCAGAGATAGCAAACCTCAAGCCATGCAATCCCTCTGCATCATTCAACTAATCCTCTGCTCTCCCGGAAAACATACCCGGCTGGAATACAAGCTACAGGCTATTCTCCTCATTTGAACGCAAGCTTGAATACAGATAAGAGACTTACCCGTGTGGATAAGGATGTGCCTCTTGAGGTGGTAACTGCTCCTAAAAGCTCCAAAGCAGTGCTCACAAATAAAATTTTTGGGAATCTTTACTTGAAAAGAGCCATTTTGTTCCACTACCACCACCTGGGGGCAACAATCAGGCATGTCATAGAGGTATCTCTCTGCCCTCTTCCTAGAGACTATTCTACTCTGGGTCCAATTCCAGCTGCTAGACAAGAAGCTCTCTGATACTGTGGAAGGTGCTGTCTCCTGTAATATCCCTTAGACTAACAGCCAGGAAGGGAGGAAGATGGACTGGGTGAGCCAGCTGTCTTGCCACAGCTCATACCCAGGATGAGTAAACTGGGGTTGGCCTGCCCTGCTACAAGAGCACACATCACACTCCCCACCTGTACCAAGAATGGTCAGCAAGGGTGAACAGCGACTGTCAGAGTGGCCCTGGATGAAATCAAGGCACAAACTCACTAGAGGAAGACGTGAGTCACCATGATAAGAAAAGGAGGTGATCCCATTACCAAACTGCATGAATCTGGGCTAACCCCATTACCTGCCTTTTTAACAGTCTTTTTTGAATGAGAAGCCTCAGCCAAGCTGTCATCGTCTTTGCGGTTCCGGGATTTATCACTGTCTTTTCGGTGGCCCTTTGAAGACAAATCAAACCTAAACTTACCGTCCTTTTCAGAACACAAGATGAGAAACCAAATGCTGTTTGTTAACAGTTTATAAAGAAGAGTAAACCACCTGCTTCCTTTCCTCAATCCACTTCCTCTTTGCTTTTCCTGGTGTAGTTTGTAGGTACAAGCACCTTCCTTAGCTCTCCAAACACCCACACTCATTCTTCCCCCCTGGGATCCTAGTTCCTCACTTCCCTAAACAGAACACCATAACAAAGCAGGGAGGAACTGCAGCTTGGTGCCTCCTGGCAGAGCTCGGGCCACCCGACCATCAAGTGCCACAAAGGACTCAAGTGCTGTACCTGACTCGAGCATCTCAGCACATCAGGGCTACCTGCCCGCTCGCCATTTTCAGCCTGCTTGCTGGCAATCTGGCTCAGCATCATCTTCTTGCTGGCTGCAGTGGGAACCAAACTCACACCTGCTAGTCCTTCACAAGCCAGAAGACTTGCCTAAGTTGAAAGGAGATGAGGTGTCAGGTCACCTGGCAGGGCAGGACAAAAACAAGCTGCTATCCTCAACACATCTACCATTTACACCCAGCAACAAAAAGCTTCTCTCCAGGGAATAACTCCCTCACTGTCAAGCCTTGCTTCCTTCAAGTCTTTTCTGTCTCACCAAGAACTATTGCCCTTTTGCATCCTGTGGCAACGAAACACAGATCAAGTTAGTACGAACGCTTGTGAATACTGTACCAATAATGTGTGTGGCTACATATAACCTAGTGTATTTCTGAGCTTTAACTGCAGGTATGAGGTCTGTCTGACCCACTGAAATCGGAGTCCTAGCAATGTCTTCCTTCCCAATTCTTTTATTTTTATTACTTTTACCTACTCATTTTTGTGTGTGTGTGCTCCCGCTAGCAGTGGCGGTTAGAGGACCACTTGCAGGAGTTGGTTCTCTCCCACCATGTGGCTTCTGGAGATCTAATTCAGGTTGACAGCAGCCTCCTTCATCTGCTGAACCATCTTGCTGACCACTCTTTTAGGTTTTTATTTTTATTTATTTTTACTTGGGAAGTTTTATTGGGGGAAGGGAAGGGAGTGGTGAAAGAGAAGGGAGAGAGGAGAGAACAGATTTTGTTTACTACCTTTTAAAAATTAATTTTTTAAAAAGATTTATTTATTTTTTTACATATATACCAGATTGAATTGTAGATGGTTGTGAGCCACCATGTGTTCGCTGGGAATTGAACTCGGGACCTCTGGAAGAGCAGTCAGTGCTCTTAACCTCTGAGCCATCTCTCCAGCCCTTAATTAATTTATTATGTGTACAGTGTTCTGCTTACAGGCCAGATCTCACTATAGATGGTTATGAGCCACTATGTGGTTGCTGGGAATTGAACTCAGGTCCTCTGGAAGAGCAGCCAAAGCTCTTAACCACTCAGCCATCTCTCCAACCCTTACTACCTTTTTTTATGTGTGTATACACACACACACACATGTGCCATATGTGGGCAGGTGCCCAAGACCAGAAGGGGATGTCAGATCCCCTAGAGCTGAAGTTAGCTGTGAGTTGGCTGATGTGGGTGCTGTGACCTGAATTTGGGTCTTCTGGAAGAGCAGGAATGCTTTTAACCACTAACCAGTATGGCCCCCAATAGTGTTCAGATTCAAAGCAACTTTCAAATGGGCAGACCTTTCTGGTGCCAACTACATTTTCTATGAGGTTATTTCTCATTTAGATTTTTTTTTTTTTTGGTTTTTTTTCGAGACAGGGTTTCTCTGTGGCTTTGGAGGCTGTCCTGGAACTAGCTCTTGTAGACCAGGCTGGCCTCGAACTCACAGAGATCCGCCTGCCTCTGCCTCCCAAGTGCTGGGATTAAAGGCGTGCGCCACCAATGCCCGGCCCTCACTTTAGATTTTAAATTCCTAAGTGCTGTCAGTCACAGCAAACAGAAAAAGCAATCACCTGGATTCCGGATTTGAATATGCAATTTCTTTTCACCACTTAGGCCATTTATGTATTTATTCATCTATATATTTTTGTTTTTCTTTTTTAAATAATTTATTTTTAATTTTGTATACATTGGTGCTTTGCCTGCAGATCTATCTGTGTGAGGGTGTTGGAGTCACTGGAACTGGAGTTACAGACACTTGTGAGCTGCTATGTGGGTGCTGGGAATTGAACCAGGGTCTTCTGAAGAGCAGTCAGTGCTCTTAACCACTGAGCCATCTCTCTAGTCCCTATTTTGTTTTTTCTAGTTTCTCTGTATAGCCCTGGCTGTTCTGGAACTTACTCTGTAGACCAGGCTGGCCACCATACCTGCAACCGCCCCCCAATTTAGTTTATTTATGTGTGCTCTACACAAAGTTTAATAAAAGTTAATTAAACATGTGTGCTTTAAGAAATAACCCCTTTTTACCACCACAGTTCTTGAACTGACTTTATCGAACTAGTACTCTAGAACATATACTTTTCCTGCTCAAGATAGTCCAAAGTTAAAAATCTTAGCTCTGCTGTTGGGGTTGTGTAATTCTGGGCAAGTCTCTACCTTTGAAGCCTTGCTTCCTTCAAATGTGAAATGCCTGCCAGAATAGAATGCCTGTCCTCACAGGGTCAAGGAGAATGAGACTGATGTAAATAAAATGCTTTAGCAGGACAGTCAACCCCATGCTGCGAACCTAGCTGCACACAGACAAAGAAGGACGAGATCCAGAGGCTCTACTCTGCCCCGGAGGAGGAAGCTACTCGAGACGCAGCTCTTGGAGGAGAGCCAACCCCACCACAATCAGGCTGCCGGCCTGGTGAGACTGGTGCAAGAGGAAGAGGTGTCCTCAGAGAAAGCTCAAGGAAGCACGCAGCTTTTCACTCAGAAGACTAAAGCAATCAGTCCCTCTGGCCATCCTGTCCTGCCATCTAGCTGCCACCTTGACAGCGACTATCTTCTGAAGACATTACTCTGCTGTCTAACATTCTTTATGGAGTTCCCACTCTCTACAGAATAACACCTAATTCCCCAGGAAGGCACAACATGCCCTTGGGTCACACTCTGCTGACTTCTCCAGAAAACAAGCTCCCCCACCCACCATTACCAACCCAGTCTCCCTAATGCCCCATTTAATCCTTTGTCCCCTGACTACCTCATCGCATCTCCCCAGACTCTAAGCCTCTGTCTGCTTATTTATCTAGCAAATTCTATGCATCCTTCAAGCTTCATTTTCTTTTTACCATCCAGGCAGAAGTACCACCTTGCAGCAACATTCTTTCATCATCGCAAATACCTTTAAATCAACAGATGCAGAAGTTCTGCTACAGCCAGCCCTTTATGCAAGGCATTGTGAATATAAAAAAATAAATAACAGACTGTCTTTCCATCCCTTCCCCTCCCCCCAACTAGCCTGGAAGCTTACTGGGGACAAGGACAATCTTATTCATCTTTGTATTCCAAGCACAATGCCTTGCATGGAACAGGAGCTCAATAAAATTCCTGTTGAAAAAGAAAAACAAATGAAGCATTCACCAGACTACTCGCTCCCTTATGCCCAAGTACTCCACGTACCAGAAGTACACTGAGTACAAGGTGCTTTGCCAATGGCCCATAAGTGCCTGTGGTGCGGTATATAGCCTACCTCCTTCATTTGACTGGAAGCTCCCTGAAGGCAGGGAGGCCTGTCTCCTTTCCTTCCTCTAGATCTCCCCCTGGTGTTTAATACAGAACTCGGCTCACTGGGGATGGTCAATACTGTTGACTAAGGCAGAATTCAAGAGTGACATTGCAAACAGGCTTCCCAGTGAATGATCTTGAAGGAGGACTCTAGAGTGAACTTTTTACCTGAGCCATGCTGGTTTTTCACTTAATGAACCCAAAAGTTCAGAAGTTCTTTATCCAGCTTTAAGTTGTCTGAAGAACTATCACCAAATCACAGTAATGGCTCCTTCCTGTTCTTTCAGTTCAGTTGCCATAGTGAACTGCCTTTGTCTTCTCAAAGAATTTAGTGTCCTCCAAAGGGAAAACAGGTGTTGTAAAAATCCGAGGTCTTTGACTTCTGCCTATTGTCTGAAGGAATAAGAGTCTATCAGTCTTGGTTTTCCAGGTGAATTTTCTTGGTGAAGCTCTGGGTCTGCTCCAGGAACCTGAAACCAGAAAGGGAGACAAGGTCCTTAAGCGTAACATCCTCAGGCCATACGACGAGCGACACCCTCCCAACTTATTTTGCTTCGCACTCTGAAGCTCCAAAGGAGGACATGAGTCAAGAGCTTTCTTTCTAGGTCAGTAGAAGAAACTGGCCTCCTGGGTCGGGAGGAGCAGCCAACAGGAGTAAAAGTAAGTTGGGTCTCCTATAAAGAGAATCTGCCAACAGAGTTAGTGCTTGGATTTGCCATCTTAGGAACGGAAGAAGGGGGCGGAGGCCCTCTGGGGCTTTTGTGCCGAGTGGGCCGGCCTGCAAAGCTGGCACTCCACAGACGCTGGCACAGCCGTGCAGGAGGGAAGCTCGGGGGTCAGCGCTGGGCCGGCCGGGCCGGGGTGTCTGGTAGACACCGACTAGCAGTGCCCACAAGTGAGCGTTACTCCGAGTCCGCCCGAAGGTACGTAAATTCGCCGCGGAGGAGCTGGGGCTGGAGACTGAGGTGGAGGGCGAGCATGCTCTCTGCGAGCAGCCGCAGCGCGCGGACCCAGAGCAGAGCCCGGGACCGCCGAGCCGCGCGCGACATGCGCGCTCCCGCTCGTGCTCGCGTCCCTTCCCAGCGAGCCCCCTCACCCCGACGGCTGGGGGGGGCGGGGCGGGGCGGGGGCGGCCCTCCCCTCGCGGCACCCTTCCTCCCTCCCTCCGCCGCGCGCCCCTCCTCCGCCGCGCTCCCCTCCCCCTTCGCGCGCGCGGCGCCCCACGGCCTGCAAGCTGCCGAGGCGCCGCCGCCCGCCAGCCTGCTCGACGCTGCCTCCCCGCGGTGCGCGCCTACCTGCCCGGCGCAGCCTCCCGCCGTCTCCTCCGCCGCGCGGCGCCTCCTCCAGGCCCCAAGCACCCGGTGCCAAGTCCGCGGCCACTGCTACCCGCGCCGGGACCGAGGCAAGTTTACAAACACCAACCCGGGGCCCGTTTCCCCGGAAGCACTTCTCCCTCCCCCCTCGTCTTCAATGCCAAGCGGCCACATCCACTTCCGGGCTCGGCAGCCTGGACAGGAGGGGGGACCGCCAAAAAGGGGTGAGGCTGGGGACGCGCAGAGTGCTGCAGCTGGCGAGTGGGAGGGGTGGCGGTCGGCAGGACCGGAGGAGGAGGGTGCGAAGGGCTGCGCGTGCGCCGTGGCGCGAAGGCGCCGTGGCCGCCATCTTGGCTGAGGGCAGACACCAGCGCTCTATCCGCGAGTCCTCAGGGGCTGAGCCTTCTTTGAGAAGGTTCGCTAGGTGAGCTGGTTGGCTCCTGGGAGAGCTGCATCTCTCCCGTCGCTCCTAAGTCCGGAGCCCCAGGTAGACGCTAGAACAGTTCGTACTCCTGATCTTTTTCATTTAACTTGGTCAACTTTGTGTTTCTGGAGCTTGCTCTCCGGCGCAGACCTGCAGCAGTCTGTGAGGTCGGCTGGGAGAAGAGGTCAATCTTTGCGCACTCCTGCGGTACATACCAAACCACAATCCAAGTATGAGTCTGGGAGACGTTTCCGAAGTAACCAAGGCAGCCGGTCCCGCAACCTTGTGCCCCGAGCCAGACTCCTTAGTTTCTTGCCTCCCTATCATAGGTGATCTATGCTAGGCTTCCTTGCAGGAAAAGACCGCCCTTTTCCTTTCGGTGGACTAGTCTTGTGGGAGACTTAGACATGCATGTCGCTCCCTGGGCCAGGCTACATCTGTCAAGGGGAACATTGAGCCCATTCTTGAGCACTTTAGCATTAGAGAGGGGTCCTGCTAAAAGATGGAAGTGCACTCTTAGCAGAAGGAAACGTGAATTCCACTTAAGTTCTAGTTTCTAGTCTGGCTGCTGTCTGGTGAATTTAGGAGACTACAAGGCTCAATCGAAGAAATAAAAGTTGTTTTTTTGTTTGTTTGTTTGTTTTTGTTTTTTCGAGACAGGGTTTCTCTGTATTGTTTTGGAGGCTGTCCTGGAACTCACTCTGTAGACCAGGCTAGCCTCGAACTCACAGAGACCCGCAGCCTCTGCCTCCCGAGTGCTGGGATTAAAGGCGTACGCCACAAACGCCCAGCTTGGAAAAAAAAAGTTTATAATGAACAAAAGGTAAGGTTTCCTAATCATAGACCTGCACGTTTTAGACCAATAAAGAAATTTCCATGTTCTCTTAGGGTCATCCTAAAATCGACATAAAACGGAGACAAATGTCACCAGGAACGTTTTTAAAACAAATTAGGGCTCTGGAGAGATGACCCAGCTGTATATAAAGAGTGCTTGCTGGGAAATCTTGAGGAAATCTTGGCTCCTGTTAGCCAGGTAACAAACCTGGCCTGATGGGAATATGCCTGTAAACCCAACTCTGAGGAAGGTGGAAACTGGAGGACCCTGGGACTTGCTGGTTTCCAGCCTAACAGAGAATTGGAGCCGCAAGTGGCAAGAGAGACCCTGCTTCTAGAGGAGTAGGCAGAATGATAGGTGGGACTTAGGATACCTTCTTCTGACCTAAGTGTGCACAGGCACTTCAACCTGTCAGACACGTACACACACACACACACACACACACACACACACACACACACACACACACACACACAGAGTAAACAAATAAGGCTTTTAAAATTAAAGAAGCAAGTGTGACAAACACATTTAATGCTAGCACCTGGAAGGCAGAGCAAGTGGATCTCTGTGAGTTCAAGGCCAACTTGATCTACATAGCAAGTTCTACCAGCCCAGGATACCCAGTGTCCAAAAAAAAAAAAAAAAAAAAAAAAAAAGAGCTTATCCATTGCCAGTCTACAGAATACAAAAATATTAAAAAATGGTTAATTTTTTCTAGAAGATAATAATCCTTATTTTTTTTTAAAATATCACCACAATTTATTTATATGTATACAGTGTTCTTCCTGCACTTCAGGAAATGGTACCAGATCTCATTATAGATGGTTGTGAGCCACCATGTGGTTGCTGGGAATTGAACTCAGGACCTCTGGAAGAACAGCTAATGCTCTTACCTCTGAGCCATCTCTCCAGCCCAATCATCCTTATTATTATGTATTTAAATTTTTTTCTATGTATGGGTGTTTGGCCTGCCTGTATAACACTTGAGTGTACCACTTGAGTGTCTGGTGTCCTTAGAGGCCAGAAGAGGGCGTAGGATACCTAGTAACTGGCATTAGAAACACTGAGCCACCTGGAGTGACAGACTGTTGTGATCCATCCATCATGTGGCTGTTGTGAATTGAATCCGGGTCCTCTGGAAGAGCAGCCAGTGCTCTAAACTGCTGAGCCACCTCTCCAGCCCCTGTTATATTTTGGGTGCTGGGGATAGATGGAGTCTGTAGCTGGGCACAGCTAGAGAAGCTGTCTGCTACTGAGCTCTCTGCTACTCCCCACCACCCCCAGTCCTTACCAGTTTGGTGAACTCTATTCCATGAGACACTTTTTCTGAGTTCATAACAAATATTTTTTCACCCAGTGCATGTTTTCTGATCACCTGTAATGTGCCATACAGTATATTTTACTTCCTGATTTTGAGCTAGGACCTTATTCTGTAGCTCATGCTGACTTCAGAGTCTCCTAAGTTCCTTCTGCCTCCACCTGGAGTGTTAGGTTATAAACTCAGCAGAGAGTGTATGTTTGACATCTGAATGAATTCATGCTTTAAGAATTGTTTCATGACAAAAGCTATGTGAATGAGCCGGGTGTTGGTGGCGCACGCCTTTAATCCCAGCACTTGGGAGGCAGAGGCAGGCGGATCTCTGTGAGTTCGAGGCCAGCCTGGTCTACAGAGCTAGTTCCAGGACAGCCTCCAAAGCCACAGAGAAACCCTGTCTCGAAAAACCAAAAAAAAAAAAAAAAAAAAAAAAAAAAAAGCTATGTGAATGATACACACCTATAATCCCAGCTGCCTGAGAGGTTGAAGCAAGAGAATCACTTGAGCCCAGAAATTCAGAAGCCTGAACAACATGTCACAAGACAAAAAACAAAAACCACTCAAGGCTGCCAGTGGTGGTGGCTCACATCTTTGATCCAAGCACTTGGGAGGCTAATCTCAGACAGGGGGATCTCTGTGAGTTTGAGGCCATCCTGGTCTACAGATTGAGTTCCAGGACATCCAATGCTACACAGAGAAGCCCTGTCTCAAAAAAAAAGGGGGGGACCCCATCTTAGGATTAGGTGTTTAATTTTAATTGGTCATGTTAATCAGGTGAGACAAAGGAGGTCCTTGATTGCTGGACTTCAATACTTTGATAGCTGAACCTTGGTGGCTAGCTTCAAGAAAATACTGTACGGTTTTAGCAAGGCAGAGGGAATGAGGGAGAAGGGCAAGGCCTGCCAAAGCCATGTTTGCCATGCTTGAGCTGGCAAAGTCCCCTCAGCAGGAGGATCACAACTTCAGGGTCATTCTCAGCTACATAGTGAGTTTGAGGACAGGCTTTATGGTACCCTGTCTTGGGGAAGAAACAAACAACAACAAAAAGACAGTAATAATGCAACAGTAGATATCCTTAGGTAGTTATCTTCTTGCATTTTAGGCAGAGTATTTGATTGTGGCTAAATGTTTTGCCTGTGTGTGTGTGTGTGTGAGTGTGTGTGTGTGTGTGTGTGTGTGTATGTATGTATGTATATATGTGCATCATTTGTGTGCAGTGCCCTGAGAGGCCAGAAGAGGGTGTTGGATCCCCTTGAACTGGAGTTATATGGTTCTATGCTGGGAACCAAACCTCTGCAAGAACAATAAGTGCTCTTAACACAGCCATATCTCCAGCCTACAACTCCTTTTTGGGGGAGAAGGGTTGTCTTTTTGAAACTGGGTTTCTTTTCCTTCCTTCCTTCCTTCCTTC